ACCCAGTCCGTATAGTTGCTACCATTGTCTTTCAGCTTGGTTTTCTCTAGGAACGCGTTGAAGTTGAGGGCAACATTGGCGTGGGCCATTTGATCTACAAGACATATTGCAAAAGTTATAGACTAAGTTCATGATAATTAAGTTCATCTAATCAAATTATTTAATGAACTCCCACTCAGATAGACATCCCTCTAGTCATATAAGTGATACATGATCCGAGTCAACTAGGCCGTGTCCGATCATCACGTGAGACGGACTAGTCATCATCGGTGAATATCTTCATATTGATCGTATCTTCTATATGACTCATGTTTGACCTTTCGGTCTCTTGTGTTCCGAGGCCATGTCTGTACATGCTAGGCTCGTCAAGTCAACCTAAGTGTTTTGCATGTGTAAATCTAGCTTACACCCGTTGTATGTGAACGTTAGAATCTATCACACCCGATCATCACGTGGTGCTTCGAAACAACGAACTTTCACAACGGCGCATAGTTAGGGAGAACACTTTCTTGAAATTATTATGAGGGATCATCTTATTTATGTTACCGTCATTCTAAGAAAATAAGATGCAAAAATATGATAAACATCACATGCAATCAAACAGTGACATGATATGGCCAATATCATTTTGCTCCTTTTGATATCTATCTGCGGGGCGCCATGATCATCATCGTCACCGGCATGACACCATGATCTCCATCATCGTGTCTCCATGAAGTTGTCTCGCCAACTATTACTTCTACTACTATGGCTAACGGTTTTAGCAATAAAGTAAAGTAATTAAATGGCGTTATTCAATGACACGCAGGTCATACAATAAATAAAGACAACTCCTATGGCTCCTGCCGGTTGTCATACTCATCGACATGCAAGTCGTGATTCCTATTACAAGAACATGATCAATCTCATACATCACATATATTTCATTCATCACATCCTTTTTGTCCATATCACATCACACGGCATATGCTGCAAAAACAAGTTAGACGTCCTCTACTTGTTGTTGCAAGTTTTTACGTGGCTGCTATAGGTTTGTAGCAAGAACGTTTCTTACCTACGCCAAAAACCACAACGTGATATGCCAATTGCTATTTACCCTTCATAAGGACCCTTTTCATCGAATCCGATCCGACTAAAGTGGGAGAGATAGACACCCGCTAGCCACCTTATGCAACTAGTGCATGTCAGTCGGTGGAACCTGTCTCACGTAAGCATACGTGTAAGGTTGGTCCGGGTCGCTTCATCCCACGATGCCACCGAAACAAGATAATACTAGTAGTGGAAAGTAAATTGATAAAATCGACGCCCACAACAAACTTGTGTTCTACTCGTGCATAGAAACTACACATAGACCTAGCTCATGATGCCACTGTTGGGAATCGTTGCAGAAATTAAAAACATTCTACGCATCACCAAGATCAATCTATGGAGTAACTAGCAACGAGAGAGAGGGGAGTGCATCTTCATACCCTTGAAGATCGCAAGATGGAAGCGTTGCAAGAACGCGGATGAAGGAGTCGTACTCGAAGCGATTCAGATCGCGGTGGATTCCGATCTTAGCGCCAAACAACGACAACTCCACGTTCAACACACGTGCAACCCGATGACGTCTCCCGCGGCTTGATCCAGCAAGGAGGAGGGAGAGGTTGAGGAAGATGGCTCCAACAGCAGCACGACGGCGTGGTGGTGATGGAGTGGCAGTTCTCTGGCAGGGCTTCGCCAAGCTCGCGTGGAGGAGGAGAGGTGTTGGGGAGGGGAGGGGCTGTGCCTTGGATGTGGTGCTGCAGCCCTCCCCTCACCCCTCTATTTATAGGGAGAAGGGGGAAGGGGGCCGGCCCCTCTAGATGAGATCTAGAGTGGGGCAGCGGCCAAGGGGGAGGGGGCTTCCCCCAAGCAAGGGGGGCGCCCCCCTTAGGGTCCCCCCCCAACCCTAGGCGCATGGGCCCTAGGGGAGTGGCGCCCAACCCACTTAGCGACTGGTTCCCTTCCACCTACAGCCCGTAAGGCCCTGCGGAACAGGTGGCCCCTCCCGGTGGACCCCCGGAACCCCTCCGGTGGTCCCGGTACAATACCGGTATACCCCCAAATATTTCCGATGATCATATGATGACTTCCCATATATAAATATTCACCTCCGGACCATTCCGGAACTCCTCGTGACGTCCGGGATCTCATCTGGAACTCCAAACAACATTTGGTAATCACATACAAATCTTCCTTATAACCCTAGCGTCATCGAACCTTAAGTGTGTAGACCCTACGGGTTCGGGAATCACGCAGACATGACCGAGACAGCTCTCCGACCAATAACCAACAGCGGGATCTGGATACCCATGTTAGCTCCCACATGTTCCATGATGATCTCATCGGATGAACCACGGTGTCGAGGATTCAAGTAATCCCGTATACAATTCCCTTTGTCAATTGGTACGTTACTTGCCCGAGATTCGATCGTCGGTATCCCAATACCTCGTTCAATCTCGTTACCGGCAAGTCACTTTACTCGTTCCGTAATGCATGATCCCGTGACTAACCACTTAGTCACATTGAGCTCATTATGATGATGCATTACCGAGTGGGCCCAGAGATACCTCTCCGTCATACGGAGTGACAAATCCCAGTCTCGATTCGTGCCAACCCAACAGATACTTTCGGAGATACCTGCAGTGCACCTTTATAGTCACCCAGTTACGTTGTGACGTTTGGTACACCCAAAGCACTCCTATGGTACCCGGGAGTTACACAATCTCATGGTCTAAGGAACTGATACTTGACATTAGAAAAGCTTTAGCAAACGAACTGCACGATCTTGTGCTATGCTTAGGATTTGGTCTTGTCCATCACATCATTCTCCTAATGATGTGATCCCGTTATCAATGACATCCAATGTCCATAGTCAGGAAACCATGACCAGCTGTCGATCAACGAGCTAGTCAACTAGAGGCTCACTAGGGACATGTTGTGGTCTATGTATTCACACATGTATCACGGTTTCTGGTCAATACAATTACAGCATGAATAGTAGACAATTATCATGAACAAGGAAATATAAGAATAATCATTTTATTATTGCTTCTAGGGCATATTTCCAACAACCGAAATGCCATACACATAGCATACTTGGGATAGAAGTCGTTGCATTTTTTGCTTTGTAGGTTGTGCACAAGTCTCGTATCCGCCTATTGAGCAATCGTGCTAGCGTCTCTCTTGTGTTGTGCAACAAGAGCATTTTCCTTGGATTCCATATTTTGAGCTCATTCCTTGGTTGCACGACCCCATTTATCTATCTGTGCATGTGTTTCCGTGTGCCACACTATTGGTCTACTTGTTGCATTTGCAAACTTGTGAATCTTTTTCAACATTATTGAATCTTGCTAACATTTGCATAAATTTTCTGCCACCATCCTCACCAAGCTACTCCAAAAGCTTTATTTGTAGGTGTGAGAATTGACAAGATCCGGTACCAATTGTGCTATTTCCTTGCTACATTATTGAGTGATCATTGATCCATGGACCTACCTACGTCTCAAAGGACACCACATGGACCAATGACTAGAGCTCGAGCAAGGGCTATAGAAGATAAGGTGAACTCGCTCCTCTCCGAACTTACACATTCTTCAAGTGAAACATGGCTCCTACGTCAAACGGAGACCCTATGTGTGATCAGGTACCTAGAGGAAAGCCAGGGAGCAACTACACCCAATGGACAAGATGGCAAGGACACCAAGTACAAGGACCAAATGGAAGAGCTGCAAGGAACCTACAGCCTCCGGACGACCGGACCACGCCGGATGTCCGACGCCTGGAACACCAGCCGGCCAAGAACCCAGCCAACAAGTGCTACAGTGGCCGGACGACCGACATGGACTGGACAACACCTCCCAGCGCCCGGATGACCAAGCCCCTTCGGACATCCGGTGCCACATCACAGAACGAAAATAGCGGAAATCCAAGACTTCTGGACGTACGAGCCTCCAGACGTCCGACGTCCACCGGACATTCGGCGACACCTTACTAGAGCAGGATCATCGGACGTCAGGCACCCTCCGGACAACCGGACCCTCGCGAGCCACCGGACGTCCGACACCTGCCTGTGCATAGTGACTAGGGCCGAGGCCCATGTACCCATTCGCCCCCCCTACACTATATATACTCCTCCTCCTCCCTCTTACTAGGGTTAGCATTGGTTTAGCTCATTTTAGAGACAGAGCTTTGCTCATCCATTTGATACATACTCGATTGGAGACCGAGGCCTCCTCGGAGAAGATCCCAAGTGGATTCAAGACCCCGTCAAGGGAAGATCCCCTCGTGGATTCAAGACCCCATCTCATCATGGATTGGAAGAACTGCCGACCGTTTGTGTCATCCCTTGTTGTGTTTTGATCATGTATCTCTCCTTGTGTTCATGGATCTAGCACATGTGTGATCGTTTCTCGTTGATTTGAGTGTTTCCTCTTGTTTCCCCTCTCATGTGTTCTTCATGTTCTTCGTGGGATCCCCTCCAAATCCTGAAAGATCTGCCTCTAGGGTTCCACCCTACATCAACTCCCGAGAAGTTCTTGTGGTAACTGGCCGGAAGAGAGAGACGTCTCTTCATCGTACCCCAGTCCACTTCATGCACTTTTGTAGCTTGCAAAGTTGTGAGCATGCAAATGGTCGACAAAGCTAGGGATAGAGGTAGGGGCCTAGAAAGTTGTCATGGAGACTGATAGCCAAGGAGACGCTAGATGAAACAAAAGGTACATACATAGCCGAAACAACCCTTTCTATTCAATCAGCACAGCATGGATGACAACAGATAATTAAGGTTCTACAGGACAACGACTGCTATATAGTATTCTAGTGGTTCAACATTCCAAAATGAAGCTAGTGCCTGCATTTTCCTGCAAAATTGTTCCTCGTGCGCGCATGCTTTCCATGCCAACACAACCACGCCCCAAAGTCACCAAGGCGCTATGTTTGCAACACGACCTGTCGCGCCAAGTTTCGACGTGTCTCTCTCAGAGATAGTCAGGTGTGTGCTTCTGCAAGGTGGTCCTCATGAAATCTGAGATCCGCGCAGATGCGGCAAGTCCCCTCTCTATACAGTTGAAGTAATCGTCCTCTGAATACAAATGAAACAGATCAGGATTACAACGGCAAAGAAGGGCAAGAAGAACACTCAAATCCAAGGCATGAGACAGATGGAACCGTACCGGACATCACTCCATGGGTGATGGAAGTTATCAATCCCCGTTCTGACTGCCCATCTTTCTGTTGTGATTCTTTCACATCAACAGACTTGCTTGAATTGGGGAACACCAGGTGAGCAAACGATTTCAATTGCTGCAGCAGGTTGTGACAAACAACAATACTTCACTTCCTGTGGTACTGAAAGTATACTCTAGAAAATTTCTTGTGGTAATGGAGGCACTGGAAAAATTTACTTTGATCTCGCACAACACATTCGAGAAACAAGTAACACAATATTCAAGTTGTCAAGTACGGACGATCTGCGGTTAAATTTCTGTTCGTGTCGGCACTTGGAAGTACACTAAACAGTAAACACCATCAAAAAGTAAATCACATGAACTCAGAAAACAGTTACTCATGGCAGTCCCCACAGTAATATGGGTTTGGAGGGGGTCGGCAAACTAAAACTGTACCTCTCCCTAGGGACTAGAAATTTTTATGCTAAACATCACGTAAAATTAAAGCCCCATATACTTGACAAAAGTTTGAAGGGCAAACCAACAACCAGCACCATGAAAATTCCTTGAGGGAGAATCAGACAACATTGTGCGCTTCCATTTCGGAGTGGAATTCAGATGAAAAGGAACAATTCCATACCTGCTCTTCTGCCTTGCTTGTGTCCAAAATCACATCACCATCGGCCAACACTCCGCAGCCAATTGCAACTGCAGCACATAACCTTGTCAGTGAACATACAAAATTATTGAACATACCAGCAAGAGGTTTAATCAGTGAACATAGAGAAATTAGTAAACTTACCAGCAAGATGTTTCATAGGGATGCCAGCAAAAACAAGGGCAGCACAGGAAGCATTAATTGCACATGGAAGAAGCTAAGGCACTGTCAAGGGCTACTCTTGATTGAAATAAGATACAGATTACGGAATTTGTCAATTTGCAATGCATATTGGAACTTCCCCCAGTTCTTGCCAATCATTTACAGCCAACAAAAATGGTTTGTGAGGCAGTGCAACACAAAGAAATACGTGTCATAACTCACAACACTATGGTGACATTAGGAATTAACTACATTATCAATTAATTAATGTATAAAGGATACAGAACCATCGTCACCCATAACCTGCCCAAAAAACAAAACCAGGATAAGGAAAAACAATATATGCAATGGCATGGTACTCCCTCCGTCCCAAATTAAGTGTCTCGGCTTTAGTACAAAGTTGAGACACTTATTTTGGGACGGAGGGAGTACATTAATTATAAAATGACCAATCAACAACATTAATTAAGTTCTTTGAAAACAACTAGTTGCAACTTGCAACAATGGTTGCAGAACCTAACCCCGCCTAGTGCAGCCATTTCCAACAGCAGCATGTATATAGCTTACAAGTATGCAGGAACACATTTCAAATTATTCCCTAGCAAAATTCCAAGGAAGTGGCCATCCTAGTTATTATATCTTGTGTGTTGTGCAAGCACAGACATAAGACTCGCAGCCCAACTAGCGATTCCACAAGATTGCCCCTTAGGAAAAAGGCTGTCATCAGGTGGGCTAAATGGGCTAATGGTGGCGACAGCATGATGCACAAGGCTAGAAATAACCAGGGATGAATTAAAACAGTATAAGCTATGGCATGAATATTACACACAGACTAATTAAAAGGACCGATCGACATAATGCACACTCTACTATGACGCAAGTTCACATCACTTTCTTTGAGAATAGCAAGCTTCAAGCACCGAGAAACAGTTGCAACATGCAACAACGGCTGCAGAACTGAACTCCATCTAGTGCAGTCATTTCCCACAGCAGCATGTTCCTTTCATGTAGCATACAAGAATGCATCTCAAATATTTCCTAGCAATATTTCACGGTAGCGACCGCCCTAGTTATTATATCTTTTGTACCCCTCCGTAAACTAATATAAGAGCGTTTAGAACACTACGTTAGTAATCTATAAATGCTCTTATATTAGTTTACAGAGGGAGTGTTTCACAAGCAGAGACACAGGATTTGCAGCCCAAGTAGCAATGACATTGCGCGCCCACAAGAAATACAAGATTTCCATTTGGGAAAACGCGGCATCAGGCAGACTAAATGGACTAACGCCGTAGCAACACGACACAATGCGCATTTAAGGCTAACACAATACTAAGCAAAAAAACAGAGCAAGTGGAAGCAGAAGGAAGGTGGGCTGACCTGAAGAACGAGGGAGGTGGTGGTGTTGGGGTGGACGGTGAGCAGGCAGATGCTCTGCAGCGTCCGCTTGAGCGTCATCTCGTACTCCTTCTCCTGCCTCCCTGCCAACAATCAAACAACCATTTCAGCACTGCCGCACTGCAAATTCGAGAGAACAAACAGTCGGTGACACTGACCGATCTGCCCGGTCTTGGGCTTCCACACCACCTCGATGGACGCCTTCTCGGGGTTCTCCCCCTTGCGCGTCCCCGGCCGGGGCCCGTACACCGCCGCCACCACCACCGTGTCGCCCTGCGCCCACCGCGCCGACCCGTGCGCCCGCTCCAGCGGGTTCCGCGTGCACGAGTACGCCCGCAGCTGGTTCGCCTTCCGACCTCCCGCCCGCTCCTCCCCTCCGCCCCCCTCCATCCCTCACCTCGCCGCCGGCGCTTCCTCCCTCACTGCTCACGGCGTCGTAGGTGGCGGCGCGGCGGTCGGCGAGTCGAAACCCTAGGTAAACCCTGGCGCTCTGCCCAGCCTCCCGCCCCCCGCGGCTGATGAGGGGGGCTCGCGGCAGGGCCAGGGACGATCTTAGCCGTTCCTGGTAGATCGGACGGCTGCGGTCGCTCGACACCCTCCGGGCCGCACGTCTATTTTCGGAGGGGATGGGTGGGTGGCTCCCCACGGTCGCGGGCCAAATAAATTTCCCACCTTTTCTTCTCCTCGCCGCCGCCGCCGCCGCCGCCCGCAAACCGCCGACGCCGACGCCGAGGACGAGGGAGATGGCGAAGAAGGGGAAGGACGCCGCCGAGCCCGACGCCAAGGCGGCGGCCGTCCGCTCCCTCTTCTCCGCCGACAACCCCTTCCGCCGCAAGGAGTCCGCTCCCCCACCGACCCCCGCGTCCGCATCCGCCGCCGTCCCCAAGCCGGCGCGCAAGCCCCGGAGGCGGCCCGAGGCGGAGGCGGAGGCGGAGGCGGAGCCCGCGGTGCCGTCCCGGAGGAAGCGGAGCGAGGAGGATGGGGAGGGCCCGGCGCGGCGCAAGCGGAAGCGGGACGAGGTGGAGTCCGGCTACGAGCGGCGGACGCTGGGGGCGGCGCCCGCGGACAACGAGGAGCGGCCGCGGCCGGTCGTCGGGGCCAAGAGGAAGGCGCCCCACGACGTCGAGGCGGCGGCCTCCGGCGGGGAGTCGGAGGACGAGGCGTTCGACGACGAGGGCAAGCTGCTCAGGACGGTCTTCGTGGGGAACCTGCCGCTGCGGACCAAGCGCAAGGCGCTCACCAAGGAGTTCGCCGCCTTCGGCGAGGTCGACTCCGTCAGGATCCGCTCTGTGCCCCTCGGCGACGTCAGTACCGTCCACCGGATTAGATTCCTGCTTATGCATTTGTGGATAGTTTTTGGCCTTGGTGTGCTAATCAATCATATGTTTGTGTGCTTGCTGCAGACCAAGATTCCGCGGAAGGGAGCCGTCATCAAAGGCAAGATCAATGACTTGGTCGACAAGTGAGTGCATTGTTATACTACATAATATGGATTGCTAGCGGCGCATTGTTTGGGTTATTATTATTGCCTAACAAGTGGAATTTATGCTATGCTTGGATAAATAGATGATTGATTTTTCCCATCTGCTTTGTGCTGGTTGCCATAAATTTCAGTTGGAATTTCTTGATGTGAGAAGCACCTGACTGCAATTAGAAATTCAGAACTTCCCCTGTTGTTAGAGCTTGGCATTTCTGTGCTACTTCTGCAATTGCTAATTATTAATGGCCTTCATTTTAATTTAGTATACAGTTTTTTTCCTTTGCTTTTATGAGCTGTTAATAACCACAAGTTGTTATGTTATATTTAGTTCCTGTTGATACTTGAATAGATAAAAGTATTCTCTAAGGAATATTCAGCGTCGCATAATTTTGGTGAAACTATTACATAGTCCCTTGTTCACACATGTATGTAATACAATTCCTGTTTCTCTCCATAGAATACTTTCCATAATGAAGCAAAGTAACTCATTGTTTTCATCTTAGTTTAGTCCCCCCTGCGCTGTTATGACGCTTAGGCTATATATATGGTAGTGAGACGATGATGGAACACAAGGAATTGTTTAGCTGTTTTTGTGCCACAAACATACTGTATGCCTGTTGCTTTTCGAACTCTTATATTCTTATATCCTTTGCAGTGTACATGCCTACATCGTCTTCAAAGATGAGCAGTGTGCGCGGACAGCTTTATCTCATAATATGGCACTGGTGTGTTCCCTGTCTTACAAGTTACAGCTGATAACAAATTACTTCATAAAGCTTAAGTACATCTTAAGAACGTTCTGTGTCATATCTAATATCTAATATATAATGCATCTATCTGAATTTTGAATCCTCTAGTTCAATGGCAATCACATCCGTGTTGACATGGCGTGTCCGCCTCGTAAAAAGCTAAGAGGAGAAGGACCTCTTTATGACAGAAAGAGGACAGTGTTTGTTGGTAACCTTCCATTCGATGTAAAGGTATGTATGATGTGTCCATTCTTGTATGGCTCCTTGTTGTTCTTTTTTTAAGAAATGATAGGATGAGGAGCACCACAATGTCCACATAAACTAAGTAACCAGTGTCAACTTTGCTTCTTGGTGGCGCATCAGGATGAGGAGCTCTACCAGCTCTTCTGCGGTCCCAGTGGACCACAAGGTGATGTTGAAGCTATACGAGTTGTCAGAGATCCAGATTCAAGCCTAGGAAAGGGTATCGCTTATGTTCTATTCAAAACAAGGGTATAATTTCTTATCCTTCATCTTCCCGCTTGAGTTATTCTGAGTTCTGACTCTTTGCAACAGTCAAAAAAATTGTCGGGTGCATAAGAAGTTTATGAATAGTATAATTTGTTAATCCTTGTGTGATTGTGCACAACATTCCTTGAAGATAGTATCGTTAGTCATGTCATATGGTTAAATGCTAGTATTACATGTGAAAAGAATGAGTTTAAGACTTCCTTGCTAACTACATATTTACAATGGAAACATCAGTTTATATAAGCAGGCTGTAAAAACTAAGCCAATTTGTAGACTCACAGCCCAATACATGCTGAACTGCATATCTAACAGAGTTCATTTATGGTGCCTTACATTGTTGAGTGTTGATCATCTTTAACCAACTGAGCAGGATGGAAAAACGATAGAATCTTGTTAAGTGTTGTCCAGAAAAGTTTATGCTGGATCAGTTCAGTTATTCTTTTTTTTTTAGGTGAACCAGTTCAGTTATAAACTACTTAGAGTAGTAAACTCGATGCCGGGTAACTACATCTACTTTGAAGGCTGGCTTATTATGATCCTGGCTAGTCAATTGCATCTGTTTATTAGAATTGTCCAGTCAGTTCATTACTTTATCCACTGATAATATACAATATGCACTTTGAACATTGTGACTTACTAAGGAAAAAACTCTATTTTCTGAGGCACATAACATGTTATAACGACCTCCGGTTATCATCGCGTAATATGCTTTGAACAATTTTCCACATTCTCTGCATACACTGTTATCTCGTCAGGATCTCTCTCATAATTGTTTCATTGTGTTATTATGCAGGAAGCTGCTAACTCTGTTGTGAAAAAACGTGGCCTTAAGATCAGAGACCGCTTTTTGAGGCTCACCCATGCAAAGGCAGCCGACGCGACGCCGAAGGCAGATTCTGGGAAAAAGCGCGGCACTCCAAAACAGAAGACACCTTTCACGCCAGGCAGCAAGTCTCGCGAAGGCAGCGACAGTAACAAACGCAAGGCGCCGGCAAGCCTGTCTTACCAAGGCCTGAAGTCGACCAAATCCGGCGTCGTGAAGAAGGTGAAGGTGGCCCGGCGCCCCATCAACCAAGGGAAGCAGCAAGGCAGGCCTAGCGAGACGGGACAAAGCGAGAGTGCCCGCAAGGCCAAGCGGCCCGCCGTGGCAGCAAGGAAGGCGAAGCAGCTGAACAAGAAGCGCAAGCAGGACGGCTCGACGCCCGAGAACACGCACCGGAGCAAGAAGGCGAGGAAGTAGCCACCCCTGTCATGGATTGTTCGCTTCACTTTGTAATATGAGTGTTGAGGGTTTTGGATGAGACGAGTCCCTGATGGCCTTTGGTTCAGCGAGGGAAAAAAATACGAGGTTGACATTGCTAATGTAATGCTGAAAAGAGTCGAGTGTTGTCATTTGGTACTTGCCTTTGGAGTCTTGGCCGCTGTACTAATGTCAAGATGATGCTTATCTATGTAACATCATGTACTGACACCGTTTTTGCCTTGCTTGTTCCCATGTCAATCAAGTGATGGAACTACAAGTATCATGTTTGGTTAAAAAAGAATCATTGGTCTTGGTAAAGACCCCATTCCATAATTTTTATTGTGGTTTAAATTCAAATGGAACAGAGGGATTGACTGACAGTGTCAAATGCAGAAGCATTTGATTCTCAAGATCAAACATGGGTTTAGGTTTTACTGAATTCGACAAGGAACTCTTGTTCCATGATCCATCTCAAAACGGAAATTCGATCGCGCATTCCTGGATCTGGATGGATATCACACCAAACATAGCACAACTCGAAGTGGCAGTTCATAATTTGCATAGAAAATCAAAGTGGAAGTGAGAGTTCATAATTTACATAGAGGTGGTAGATTGCAGCAGCAGCAGCAGCAGCAGCAAACCATATTGGATGATTTATTACTCGTGCACGCGTCACATGGCGGCGGCGGAGGCGGCGACGACGTGGAGGCGCCAGAAGACCTCGGCGGCGGCGTCGGCGGTGCCGTTGTCGACGGCGACGGCGCCGAGGAGCGCGCGGAGGGCGCCGCAGACCACGGGCGGGGCCGAGGCCTTGGTGGACCCGGCGACGCGCACGACGGCCGGGATCCCCGCGCGGGCCCCCGCCGCGGCGCAGGCGGCCTCCCCCGCGGCGTCGCGCGCGGCGCGGGAGACGGCGGAGGCCGGCGCGTCGCGGTCGGCTGCGAGCGCGCGCAGCGCGGCGGCCGACTCCGCCGCGGCCAGGCCCAGCACGGCCAAAGCCCGGCCGTTCTCGCGCGAGTAGGAGGCGTGCGTCATCGCCCGGCGGAGCAGGTCCGGGGACCCGAACGCGTAGCCGATCCGGCCCTGCAGCGCCGCCAGCGCCGCGTCGAACGGAGACGAGGCCGCCGGGGAATACTTCAGTCCCGAGGCTAGTGGGTGGGAGGCGACGGAGACGGAGACGGAGACGAGGAGGAGGACGGCGGCGAGCGTTGCCGGCGGCGGGGGCGCCATTGCTGCTGTGGTAGGTTTGGGTGGAGTGCGGGAGAGGAAAGGTGACCGGCCGGTTGCGTCGACGTGGCGATTCTCATTCTCTGGTTGGCGAGGTGGAGTGGGTCAGAGCCCTTGGGCTGGGTACGGGCCGGGCTGGACTCGGGCCACTGGCGTATGTCGGCCTGATGGGCCTATCGGCACGGCAGCATGGCCTAAACTCGAAGCGATGCATTCACAGATCCCATGCCCATCTTGCTGCCAGGAGATTTGAGTGAAAGAGACGTTCAACTTGGAGCTCAATGTCAAATCGGCTGTCTAATCTACTAGAAATACCAAGTGGTTGAATGATCGCGTTTTCACAGGAAAGCCGACAGGTGGGACCCACTGTCAAGGCCACCGTCGCCATGACTGGTGCTCGGTAATGTCGTGGTCCCTGTGTACACCCCTGGCCTACTCCCCTTCTTTTGCATCCGAACCCGCGCCTCTAGACACTTCCCTGCTCGCGTCGTTGCCACCTGCCACCATGGTCGAGCTTGTCGGGATCCTGTTTGCCCCGCTCGCGTGCTCCTTGGTCGTGCCTCGGGGATGTGCAGGACGCCACGTGTCCCCGCACAGCTCCGCCATCATCTGCGCGTGCAGTGCAAGTAGGATTCGACCATGTCCGGCCTAGCCCACCTGTCCGGGAAACGATGTGTTGAGAGACCCCCTAGTCGGGACATCGTTAGTAGCCCCTGAACCGGTCTTCAAGTCTGGGTCGTACCTTGACTTTTCCGAGCTGTTCTTCGTCTTGGGTCGTCCGTCTTGAAAACTGGTTCAACGAATCCTTCTGTATCCAGTTCTTCCTTGATTAATTGTTGGATTGCACCGGGGAGCTCTGTGCTGACCTTGGCTCCCGGCCAGCACTTCACGCTTGCTGCTAGGTTTGGGTGGGGAAGTGCGGGAGAGGAAATGTGACCGTCCGGTCGTGTTGACGTGGGGATTCTCTAGGTATTTTTTTTAGGTGTGTTTTTTTCTGAGAGAGTGGGGATTCTCTAGTTGGTGAGAGTCAGAGCCCTTGGGCTGTGTACGGGCCGGGTCGGAATCGGGCCTCTGGCGTCTGTGGGGCCAATGGGCCAATCGGCACGGCAGCATGGCGAAATTGGTCTCGTGCTTCCCACACTGTCCTGCCCTGCCCTAAACTCGAAGCGACGTTCACGTTGGCAGGTGAAGTGCACCGTGCAGCCTACATTCACAGATCCGATGTATCTGTTGACTCGTGTAGGTAGGTAGAAAGGCAGGTGATATGCTACTCAACTTCTCCCATGCTTGGAGGTTCGAGTGAGACGTTGAACTTGCAACGCAATGTCAGAATGTCAGATCGGCTGTCTAGCTAGCTAGGTGTTCCTGCCATCGTGACTAGGAATCTTACAACTCTCCGTGTGCACCTTCTCCTCCTCCTCCTCCTCATCATCATCATTGTCGATTCATGGACTCGAGCCTCGAGGCCGTCTACTCTAATCTAATCTATAGCCACGCCTCCCACTTGCCGTATCATCCTTACCCTCATACCTCTCGCAAGCGTCTGCATTATAAGCGTATGAGCACATTTTATCATCCAACGCAGTCTTGCATTTGTTTGATTGTTTTTCCACATTTCTAAGACAAATAAGGAGGGCTTTGCGGGAAGCCAAGGGCACCACATACCCCTCTCTCTCTATCTAGATGGACCAAGGTCGTTCGTTGTTGAGATTTGGCGGAAGATTAGCATGTGGCATTTGGCGGAAGGCTGCTAACTGAAAGGTGATTAGGCGTTTTGATGGAAAGCTATTTGGGCGAAAGGCCACTACCATTTAGTAAATTAAGCGTTGCATTTGGCAAAAGCTACTAATGATGTAATTCTTTCGGCCGAAGCTAAAGCTAGCATGCATCAATTTGGCGGAGCTTTGTTTCTCTTTGGCGCAAGCTACTGTAATGCAATGCTAATATGGATTTTATTTGGTGGAAGCTAGCTAAAATGATGCTAATTTTGTCACGTTTCAGGATAATTGTCTGGGTTTACTAAAACCCGGTAAATACATACATGGTTGGATGGCCGGGCTCCCGTATCCGGGTTCGAACACTAGTCCTGTCAGCGTTCTGGGTTCGGAGGTACCCAGACTTGCCTGCCTGCGGCTCAGCGCATGGGCCTGATGACGGCCCGGTACAGCCTAGCTGCAAGACCCTCCAAGACAAGACCCTCACGGGGCCTCCAGCCTCGCGAGGAGAACGACATCAAGACCTCCCGAGGAGCAGCTCTCCAAGCATGCCTCTCGAGGAGCGGAGATTTCTATGCAGGTACCTGATACGTCTTCAACATATCTACCTTTTCTCACGCTTTTCCTCTTGTTTTGGACTCTAATTTGCATGATTTGAATGAAACTAACCCCGGACAGATGATGTTTTCAGCAGAACTACCTTGGTGTTGTTTTTGTGTAGAAATAAAAGTTCTCAGAATGGAACGAAACTTTGCGAGGATTTTTTATATCAATAATAAAAAATTCTGGAGCCAAGACCTGCAGGAGAGGGGCACCTGGGAGTGCCTGACAGTCGGGACCCACCTGGTCGAAGCATACGTAGGGCCAGTTCTTTTGGGCAATTCTCCGAGAATTGACCCCCTCCCCAGCTTCTCCCAGAAAATATAGAATTGCCACTCTATATTTTCTTACAATTCCTAGCTAACTAGATCTTAACTAGTTAGGAATTGTAAAAAAAGACGAAGTGGCAATTCTGGGAGAAGCTGGGGAGGGGGGCAATTCTCGGAGAATTGCCCAAAAGAACTGGCCCATAGTGTTGTCATTCTGGTCGCGAACGTGTACGTACATACAATCGGTCTGTCTGCAGGCTGCAGCGATGAACCATGGCCGTGTAAGGAAGGGCACGTGTCGTAGTAGAGGCGCGCACGTAGCATGTACACGTACGTACAGCGGCCAGTGTGCCAGAATGAAAATACGACCACGTACGTACATACGGGCGGGGTCTCGAATGCCTACTCGCGCATACGTACATACAGCGGCCAGTGTGCCAGAATGAAAATACGGCCACGTACGTACATACGGGCGGGGTCTCGAATGCCTACTCGCGCATACGTACGTACAGCGGCCAGTGTGCCAGAATGAAAATACGGCCACGTACGTACATACGGGCGGGGTCTCGAATGCCTACTCACGCATACGTACGGCCAGGGCTCGTGTACATGGCTGGGTCGAAATGGAGAAACTGCATCGTCGTCGTGTTCATGGGGAGCCAACCGGCTGGGTCGGAACGGAATGCGTCGTCGTGTTCATCAGGAGGGTTTGGACAGAACATCCAATGGAAACGAGGCCCGGCGTACCGCAGAACGGAGAAAACGGCCTTGTGTTCGACTGGCCATAGTTGAAACGGGATCCTGTTCATCGGGAGGGGTCTGGCGTACCGCAAAACGGAGGAAACGGACTTTTGTTGGACCTGCTATGGTCGAAACGGGGTCATGTTGATCGGGAGGGGTGTGGCGTACCGTAAAACAGAGGCAACAAACTTGTGTTGGAGCGCTACAGTCGAAACAGGGGTCCTATTCATCGAGAGGGGTGTGGCGTACCGCAAAATGGGACTCCAGGGATACTGTTCATCTCCACCGTCAACCTTCTCCAGCCTCCACGGGCTACTGTTCATCCACCGTTAACCTCCTCCAGCCTCCACCTGCAACTGTTCATCCACGGGCTCCTATTCATCCAGCCTCCACTGTGCGCTACTCCACCGGCTACTGTTCAACCAGCTCTCTCCATGGGGTCCTGTTCAACCACCCCTCCACGGGCTACTGTTCATCCAGCCCTCCACCGGCTATTGTTCATCCAGCCCTCCACGGGGTCATCCTGTTCATCCAGCCCTCCACGGGGTCATGTTCATCCACCCCCAACCGGCTCGATCGATCGGGGTCCTGTTCATCCAGCGGCAACGACCTCTACTACCACGGGGTCCTGTTCATCCAACCCCCCACCGGAACTATTCATCCACCCCCCAACAACGCTCACTGTTCATCCTGAGGCAGCATCGATCGGCTTCAGTTAGCAGCAGTAGCGAAGGAACCGCTCGATCGGGTTCAGTTAACAGTCATCGATCTATCGCTCGAGTTCAGTAACACGGAGCCTGCAGTGCAATCGCTCGGGTTCAGTAGGCGAACGCCTCGCTCGGGTTCAGTTAGAGCCCAACGCCTCGCACCCACGCGCGTGCGTGTACGAGAGAAATGCGCAAACCTATGTGCATCGCTCGGCCCCGACCACCCACCATAACCGGGAACACCCCGATATTTTCCTCGCCCTCGCTTCTACCACGGTTTTTTCTGTCATGGACGGCCCAAAGAATGTCATGCAGCTGCGTCTCCGGCCCGCCCAGGATGAAAAGCCCATTTTCTGTCATGATTTTTTGTCATAGAAGTAGGAGCCCACCACATCTATGATGATACCGGGTTTTGTCACAATTATCGTCATAGAAGTGTCATAAGTATGACAGGAAATTTTTTCGTTTGGCCCAAAATGTCACGGATGTGTCTTTTTTGTAGTGCATGACCTCTCCAAACCCACTTTTATCAAAAAAAATCATAAGATTGAACATTTTCTAAATATGTGGGATCTAAAGTTGACACTCTTCCAAACCCATTTTCAATATTATTGCAAACATTATTATCAATCTCATATTCATCATGGGGCTTAAATAAATTTTCAAGATCATAAGAAGAATCACCCCAATCATGATTATTGCAGCTAGTAGACATAGCAAAATTAGCAACCCCAAGCTTAGGTTTTTCATATCATTAGCACAATTGACATTAATGGAATTTATAATAATATCATTGCAATCATGCTTTTCATTCAAGGCACTATCGTGAATCACATTATAATTTTCTTGTTTCAACACTTCATCACAATTTCCAGATTCATGAATTTTAAGCAAAACCTCATAGAGATAATCTAGTGCACTCAATTCACTAGCAATTGGTTCATCATAATTGGATCTTTTAAAAAGATTAGTAAGTGGATGAGGATCCATAAATCTCTTTGCTTCTGAATTTGAATAAACACAATTATGCCAAGTAAACGAGCAAACAAACCGAGTAAGACATAAAGGCAAATGGAAAGAAGGTGAATAAAAAGGCAAATATTTTTGTGTTTTCTGAAAATCGTTTTAGAAGTGGGGGAGAGAAAAATGAGAGGCAAATGACAAATAATGTAATGCAAGAGATGAGAGTTTATGATGGGCAGAAGGCAAGGTTTCCGTTCCGCGCAAAACGCTGAAAAACACAAAGGTGTTTGTTCCTACACATTTTTTGAGTCTCAACAAAAAAATCCTGAGAAAAAAATCCTAACGAACGAACGAACGAACGTCCATATCACAGGCACAGCACACGCACAAGGCATGCGGTTCCCCGGAGATATTTTTACTCCCATCCTTCCTTCCCCGGCGAACCCAACCGAGCGACGGCGACGGCGACGGCGACCGGCGGCGGCTCACCGGCTCCACTCCACTCAAATCAAATCAGTTCGCTCAGCTCAGCTCAGATCACGTCGTTTTACGGAAACGCCCCTGGATTAAACAAAAGTATTTATATACTGCCCCCCGCTATCTCTCTCTTTCTTGTCGTCTCCTTCCCATCCATCCCCCCTCTCCTCCTCCTCCTCCTTCAAAGACCCCACCTTTCACCTCCACCCCCAGACCTAGAATCAATCCCCGCCCCCAAATCCCCCACTCCCTCTCGCCCTGCTCCAATCGGAGGTGCTCCCTCGACTCCGGCTGGTGGTGTTCCCGCGCGGCGGGGCTGAGCTCCGAGGTCGGGGCCGGGGCCGTACGGATCGAGGACGGCGATGGACGGCGGGGTTGCTGCGGTGGCCTCCGCCGCTGCGGCTGCGGCCGCGGCGTCGTCGACGGTGACGACGGCGGTGGCGCCTCCCGGGGCGGGGGCGGGGGCGGGCGCGCCGCCGCCGTTCCTGATGAAGACGTACGACATGGTGGACGACCCGGCCACGGACGCCGTCGTCTCCTGGGGCCCGGCCAACAACAGCTTCATCGTCTGGAACACGCCCGAGTTCGCCCGGGACCTCCTCCCCAAGTACTTCAAGCACAACAACTTCTCCTCCTTCGTCAGGCAGCTCAACACCTACGTGCGTGCCCTCCCCTTTACCCCCTCCTCTCCCCTGCTTGCTCCAGCCCCGCTTTGTTTTCATTTTCTTGGGGGATTACCGACCGTCTCTCTGCCACCCACCGCGATTAAAATTCGGGTGTTTCTTGGGGTCTATGAGAGCCGGATTGATTGATCATGGCCGTGTATGCCTGAGCTGATCTGATCCCCAACGCCGCGCGCCGCCTGTAGTTTCTAGTTTGCGGCCGCTCTGCTGATCCACAGCTTGAACCAGATCGAGAATACGGCTTTCTTGATTTGACTTCAACAACTTAGGCAGGAGTTAGTCAGGTTTTCACTGCTGCTTTCTGACTTATAAACAACATAAGAGGAGGACTTGTTCAGGTTTATTACTGTTGCTCTGTGATTGTGACAGCAAGTGACATGTTGCTCGTTTCCAGCTTATGCAAGAACGAGTTGCTTGCATATCTTGGCAATTTATTGGACAGAGGTCTACTTGAGGTACTGAAATCACGGGTACCTGCGTGATCTTGCATATGGTATTGCAGCAGTTTACTGGAGTCCTGCAATTTTTTCTCCTAGTGTTCGAGGTTACAACCCGTCCTGCCAGTAAACCCTTCTCGGTTTATTAAAACATAGTAGCTCAGTTGAGTTTAGTTTGTAGGCCCCAATGTTTAGGCATGTGAGCCTGTGCTGCAAGTGTGTGTGCTTGACCCCTCTAAAAATTGTTCTGTGAGAGTGACAGCAGGTGGCATGTTGCTCGTTTCGAGCGTATGTGTAAGAACGAGATGCATACGTTGGCACTTTCTTAGACAGAGATGTACTTGAGGCAGTGGAATCACAGATATCTATGTGGTCTTGCATATAGTATTTCAGCAGTTTGCTTTAGTCTTTCAATTTTCCTCGTAGTATGTGAAGTTAAAACCGTCCTGCCAATAAGCCCTTCTTGGTTTAAAACATAGCTCTGTTGAGTGTAGTTTGTAGGCCCCAATGTTTACGCATGTGAGCCTCTGCTGCGTGTGTACTTGACCACTCTAAAAAAATTGACCGTGCAGTGCTTTGATTCTTGGCCAGAGTAGCGCCACCAACCTTTTGGCCTTTGATCCTGAATGCCACCTGCTGCTGTAGTTTCTGCATATTCTGCCGTTTTCGAATCTTAACCAAATTGCTAGCCTGTTGTTATTTTGGACAATCCTATCGGGAGGCAGTCATGAGGACCAGGAAGTGTAGGGTCTCTGTGATGGAATTCTATCTCTGGAATACCTCTTCCTTATACTAGCTTAAAGAACATAGAAAGGAGTCGGTCAGGTTTAATACTGTTGTCATGTGAGTGTAACAGCAGGTGGCAGGTTGCTCGTTTTAAGCTTATGTACGAACAAAGTGCATATCATCTAGATACTCTCTTAGACTGAGGTCTACTCGAGGCACTGAAATCACCGGATATCTGCATGCTCTGGCATATAGTATTGCACCCCTTTACAGGATTCTAGGGATTTTCTTCTTTCTAGGTGAAATTGAGCCGTCCTACCAATAAACCCTTCTGGGGGTTAAAAGACAGCTTAGTTGAGTTTATTTTGTAGACTCCAATGTTTAGGCATGTGAGCTGTGCTGCAATTGTGTGTACTAGACCACTCTAAAAATTTCTTTATTTCTGGCCAAAGGAGCGCCACCGACCCTTTGATCCTGAATGCCACCTGCTGCCGCAGTTTCTGTGTACGCAGCCGTTTTCAAACCTCAACTAAATTGCTAGTCTATTGCGGGTTTGGACAAAGCCTACCTCCCGGCAGTCAGGAAGACCAGGTAGTGCAGGGTCACTGTGATGAATTCTATCTCTGGAATACTGCTTTCTTATATTAACTTAAAGAACATAGAGAAGAGTCAGTCAGATTTAATACTCTGTCATGTGAGTGTGACAGCAAGTGAAAGGTTGCCTGTTTCAGGCTTATTATGTAAGAATAAGAATAAAATGCATTTCTTAGACAGAGGTCTACTTGATGCACTCAAATTATAGATCTGCGTTGTCTTGCATATAGTATTGCAGCCATTTACTTGAGTCTTGGGATTTTTCCTCGTAGTGCACGGATAAAAAACGTCCTGCCAATAAACCCTTCTTGGTTTAAAACATAGCTCATTTGAGTCTAGTTTGTAGACATCAATGTTTAGGCATGTGAGCCTGTGCTGCAAGTGTGTGTACTTGACCACTCTAAAAATTTCAACCGTCGAGGGCTTTGATTTATTGCCAGAGGAGCGCCACCAACTCTTTCATCCTGAATGCCACATGCTGCTGTAGTTTCTGCATATTCAGCCGTTTAGGAATATTAACCAAATTGCTGTTCTGTTGTTCATTTGGACAATCCTACTGGGAAGCAGTGGTCACTGATGAAACTCTTATCTCTGGAATACCACTTTCTTATTAACTTGAAAAACATAGAGTTATTCATGTTTAACACTGTTGTCATGTGAGTGTGACAGCTGTATGTAAGACTAAAACGCATATGTTGGCAATTCCTAAATATAATATAAGACTAAAACGCTTTCTTATTAACTTGAAGAACATATGTGAGTGTGACAGAGGTCTACTTGAGGGTACTGAAATCACGGATACCTTCACGCTCTTGCATATAATATTGCAGCTGTTTACTGTAGTCTTGGGATTTTCCTTGCTGTATGTGAAATTGAACCCATCCTACCAATAAACCCTTCTTGGTTTAAAACATAGCTTAGTCGAGTTTAGTTTGTAGACTCCAATGTTTAGGCATGTGAGCATGTGCTGCAAGTGTACTTGAAAGTTTGAACGATCGAGTGCTTTGATTTCTGGCCAAAGGAGCGCCACCAGTTGGCATATATAAGCTTATAGATCTGGCTAGCCTCCTTCCCCATTTTGTATACATCATGGACTATTTCGTGAAATCGCCTTAACTCTTGAGTTAAATATGCTTCTTGTGCTAGAATATTAGATACATCACAGTTTGGTCCCAGGGCGTGTGATACTTTTAAGTCTTAGATTGATTTGTAAGTTTTTCATTTGAACTTACAAACATAGTAAGCAAATGCTGCGAATAGGTATGATATACTCCAAAACCAGTTTGGCCCCTTTGTGGCATCTAAAGAAGTAGAGTACTACTTCTTAGGTGCTGCCCAAGCTCAGATTCCTGGAAACAGTTCCCTCACATAATAACATTATGATTGCCTTTAAAGTGACCCCTAGCATTTGATAATAAATTCTAACTAAACTTGCATGCATATGATCATCTCATTACATACCGTTGTGCAATCTCCCCAACCTCTTGCTCTTGGGATGAAGCATGAAAGAACATGTTTTATGAATTAATATTTGCATTGAAAATTATGAGGTATGTCATCATATCTGAAGATATGCTTGTTAACGCAACATGTTACAATCACATGAACTTCTAGAAATTAACCGGAAAGTAGCAATACACAATACACTGGATGTGTTCCTGTGCTTGTTATTTTTCATTTGCTTTCTGAACCATCACTTCAGTTTAAAGCGATTACCGTTTATATCCAGTGAAGAACTATTTATTCCAGGTAGGCTGTCTATGCCTGATTGTCTGTAGTTCCATACCGTTCCATTGATTGTCTATCTGGATGTGGTCACACAGTCCTGAACCGATGAATGCATATGTGATTCCCTGTCGTTGACCATGGCCATCTCTAAGTTGAATTTACATTTGCAAAAATTCAAATAACAGAAGCAAATTGTGGGGCCCATGGATAACGGGATAGTTAGGACTTACTGACTATCACTATATAGTTTAATTATTGCTTATCTTCGGTTCACCTGAGCCTGTTACCATTTTTAACCATTTATGATTCTTACACAGAGGACTCACTAATGCAACATGTGGTAAATTCATGCCCTTCTGTATTGTGGTAAATTAGCTGTTCCCTTGAGTTGCAGACACTTTTAGGTGAGTCATAGACTGTTAGGATTGTTTGGGTTGCATTGCTGGTGTGATTGTTCTCTACTTCCCCTTTTCGTGATGCTACAAAGTTGCCGACCATTCAAAGCACATTAGCCCCTTTCTAATAATCTCATTGCTGCTTTTGGTAACAGGGATTCAGAAAAGTTGATCCAGACAAGTGGGAATTTGCAAATGAGGGTTTTTTGAGAGGTCAAAAGCATCTACTGAAGACCATCAACAGAAGGAAACCATCGCATGCAAACAACCAAGTGCAAGTGCCACAGCAGCAACAGCACCACCAGCAGCAGCATCAGCAGCAACCCCAGCTGCAGAATGCTCCAATGCCTTCTTGTGTAGAGGTGGGGAAGTTTGGGATGGAGGAAGAGATTGAGATGCTAAAAAGGGATAAAAATGTTCTAATGCAGGAGCTTGTCAGGCTGAGACAGCAACAGCAGACCACTGACCATCAGCTGCAGACTTTGGGCAAGCGTCTTCACGGAATGGAGCAACGGCAGCAGCAAATGATGTCTTTCCTGGCTAAAGCAATGCAGAGCCCTGGCTTCCTAGCACAATTTGTACAGCAGAACGAAAACAGCAAACGAAGAATAGTAGCCGCCAACAAGAAAAGGAGGCTACCTAAGCAAGATGACGGCCTGAACCCTGAAAGTGCATTGTTGGATGGCCAGATAATCAAGTATCAGCCTATGATCAATGAAGCGGCCAAAGCAATGCTGAGGAAGATCCTGCAGCAGGATACCTCCCCACACAGATTTGAATCCATGGGCAATTCAGATAATTTGCTACTGGAGAACTGTATGCCAAGTGCTCAAACTTTTGACAGCTCTTCATCAACCCGGAATTCTGCAGTCACCCTTGCAGAGGTCCCAGGCAACTCAGGCATGCCATATATGCCCACTAGCTCTGGACTTTCAGCAATTTGTTCATCTTCAACTCCCCCTGAGATGCAGTGTCCAGTTCTGGACAGCAACTCATCCACACAACTTCCCACACAACTTCCCAACATGAGTGCTGCGTCTTCTATTCCAAAGGCTATGACACCAGGTTTAAGTGATATCAGCATTCCAGGATTCCCAGATCTGCATGATCTCATAACGGAGGACGCAATTAATATTCCTGTAGAGAATTTCGCAATGCCTGGTCCTGAGTGTATATTCCCCCTACCTGATGAAGGCAGTGATGACTCTGTTCCCATGGACCCCATCGACACTGATGAGACGGATGACACCCAGAAGCTTCCAGGAATCATTGATTCCTTCTGGGAGCAGTTCCTTTGTGCCAGCCCTCTCTCCATCGACAACGACGAGGTCGACTCAGGTCTGCTGGACACAAGGGAAGCGCAAGAGGAGAATGGATGGACCAGGACCGAGAACTTGGCAAACCTGACTGAACAAATGGGGTTGCTGTCATCCAACCATAGAGGGTGAGGTACCTACTCACAGCGACCCTCTCTCAAGGCGCCCCGGGGTCCAACCTGGTAATAAAACTAGCTCCTATAGTTTATCCTTGCGCAATCATACTGAACTGTGAAATGCCTGTCGACAGCCGGTGTGGGAGGACTCCGATCTTTTTGTATCTATAAAGGTTTTTGGCAGGCGTAAAAAACTAACGACCGTGCGTTGTGTTTCTCATGTGCTTTTCTGGTTGCGACTAACACCGACCTGAACCGAAACATGTAAAAGACTAGCTCCTCGCGCTATCCAGGATCGCTGGCCTCTATGGAATCCAGAAAAATAGCGGTGTTTGGCACTTGTTGTGTTGTGTGTATTACTGATTTTTGGGTTAATCTTTTTTGCTGCTGCTGGGCCCAAGGATTGTTCTAGGTTTGGGATGGAGTTGATGTTTCTTGTATGGAAGAGACCGTGAGTGAAAGCTGCCTATATGTGTATTTTCTGTTGTTGCTTAGTGCCTAGTATGAACTACATACATACATTTCTCCTATATACAGTAATTATGTAGCATATGACCTTGCAAACACAATCTCTGTGAAAACAAACAGAGAAAACATGCTGTCCAGGTGATGCATATGAGCGACATAGAGAAAACATGCTGTCCAGGTGATGCGATGCGAAACAGTCCAAACCATGCGCTACACCAGTGACCAGTGCAACTAGACAAGTTGTAAATCAGTAGAGCATATATACAGACACAATCCGTCAGTAGGAGTCTCAGAACAAAAGGAAAGGCCAGAGACACAAGGCAGGAGGATGGCTCAGTAAACAGCTCTCAAAATCATCACGGTTCGTGCTTGTGATTTGTGGATGCCATCCTGCTCAGCTCAAATGATCAGCAGCGTGTCTCCATGGTCTCTGGAGTTCGCCATCTTCTTGCAGATGATCAGCAAAGTCTCACCTTCTTCGCCGGTTCCTCAGCGACGGACGCCTTATCCTCTAGCTCAGAGGCCCTCTTCTCGATATACTCACGGTAAGTCATGGTGACATGTATCTTGTACAGGCTGACCCCGTTCGCCACCACAACACTCACCAGCTTGTCAACCCCTTCGTCGCCGTTGGTGCATTGTATCGTCACGCTGTGAAGAAGCCGGCACCCGAAGGTCATTCCGTTTGTTGGCTGAGCATCCGCGCCCGCTCCTTTACCCTGAAGACAAACAAGACATGTAAAGAAAAGGGTGCCTTGCCTTCTAGAGAACATTGTTCTTAAACCGATGCGATGATTCTAGCTACATGCAGCATACTGCAACGTACCGAGTCATGCACCAGTTTGAGCTTTTCTAGCCTTGGTGAAAGCTTAAGGAGGCGGAGCACGGCGTATAGGTCCTCAGCCAGATGCCATCCTCCGATTTCCAGACTTGTGAGGCTCTGAAATGCTGAGCATGTTGGCAACTCATTGTCCAGCATAACCTTGCATTGGGAGAGCTAGCAAGTTATAAACATAGACTACTAGTAGATAAGACAAAGATGGCATGTAAGTTTATGACTAGCTTGCAAAACAAAATGGGACAAACATCGCATGGATTGCCATTCCAACACTAGATAACATGAAAGCATGGCAATGCAAACATTCATTCAAATAAGTAGGGAGATATAATCTGATATGTCAGCTTCTCACAGCTGAACTGGCAAATTTTCTACCATTTTCTGCGGGACATATAGAACATATGATAGAGATATTGCAGATGCACAAATTAGAACAAGAACACATATGGTATATGATATTCAAGTGATAGTTTTCAGGATAAACATCATGTCCTAACATATATAAAATGGCAACATCCATTTCAGCAGCAAGAATGTACAACAAAAATTTCACCCACAGCATTAAGCATAACACACTAGCATTAAAGGCCAACAAGCATAACTTGCGAAGAACCTCGAACAAGTTAAACTCATGACGACTGATTCAAATAAATGACTGCACTTTAACAAAGCAAAGGAAACCAACATGCTATAACACATGAACAACCTTTACTTAAAAAAAAACCAACAGTTACTAGTCTCAATTCATCACAAGAACCGGGTAAAATACATCGTTGTATTTCAAAATATTATAGCATCAAGGTCAGAAACTAAAATTCCATATTATGCTGGAATTTGCTTGGCATCCATATAAACTATACTTGTATATTCAGAACTATTTTCTAACATTACATGAGAAAAGGTAACTGGAGAAATATTCATGGCTTCACAGGCTTCATAGGTAAATCAAGCAAGAAACAACAGTTGTTCATTGTTGTGCAACACAGCTTAGACAGTTAATTAATTAGTTTCCATTTCTCTTTTTGTTGGAGCAGAGGTGCTTTAACTTTCAACTAGAAGTACTCTGTTATCTTTCAGGTTGTTCTCGGATACATGATAATGTTCACATCATCAATGACTACATGCTAGCAAGTCGCAACCATTAAGTACATGTGGTAGTTTTATCCATCCAGTTTTCATAAAGAATTGACAGAGTTGATGTTTTAGCGAAACAAAACATGAAAAATAACATTAGAACAACTAGCTTGTTTCCTTAGAAGCATAACTTTATGTCGAGACCAAATAAGGCAAGTTTATTGGCATGCAGAAGCATTTCGGTATACTTAGTTTCGCCATCAAACGTACTCCCACAAGTATCAATGTGTGCACTCTCTAGAGTTGGCTGGTCTCTCCAAGAAATATCTTCCAGTTGGTAATCCGTGCACTCAAAGCTTACCAGATGAGGAGCAGAAATTGTAAAACCCTTGTGTGGATCTATGTAGCCATCAATGGTCAGCCTTTTTAACACCTTGGAGGCTATGAGGTCAAGAAACATGGCAGGCTGTATCAAATGAATGTCTTCCAGGTGAGGGCTGTGAGCAATCAAAGCGTCCAGAGAATCCTGGTATACTTTCACATCACTCAGAGTCAACTTCCCGAGGGAAGGAAGGTTGATTCCACATGGCATTACATGCCCATAATTGTCGAAATCACCTTCAGGCCTTGTTCGGTTACACCCCTCCACAAGAGGATTGAAGGGGATTTGGGGAGGTTTTTACTTGTAGGGGATTAAATCCACTTCAATCCCTGCCAAACCCCCTTCAAATCCCTCTCAACCGAACACAGCTTCAGGAGTTACCCCCAACTGCAAATTCAGCTCCTGGAGTGAATGGCAGGTGAAGATGGCAGGAGGCAATTCACTCTCGTCATAATCATGAAGGATCACATTGAGAACTTTCACGTTATGATTCACTGCATACTTGATCCACCTTCTTACAGCTTGGCTGTCGGAATGATTCTTGTCCCAACGCAGCTTGAATGTGTGCAGGTCTGAATTAGAACGGACGAGCAGCCGGTTGTCAACAGAACGAGCAAACTTTTCAAACTTGCAACCATAGAAATCTTTGGAGTCGAGGCGTATGGCATCCTCCTTGACTGGTGGCTCCATGGCAACCCCACCTCAAACACCTGTCACGCATAGACACATTCAGATTGATTCAAACACCTGTCACGCATAGACACATTCAGATTGATTCAGTACTAATAAGATAAGTTAAGGCTCCAGCAAACTCAATGATATCAAGACTGGCCATGTCGTGTCATCAATATCAATATAAAAGCAGGTTCTTTTCATAGTTAATTGCATCAATCTCTAAATTGTGCCAGTCATGAAGCAAAGCAGTTTTTTGCAGCCACCCCAGGTAATCGAGCACCGACCTAACTAACTGGTTTGCACAGCATAAGAGTAGTCCATTATCAACCAACCCAACAACAAATTACAAAGAAACCTAATCTTGATGGGCAATGCATTATACAAGCAATTCGGCGCAGCCAATCAATCAGCACAGATCCGGGATTCCTTCCAAAAACAGAGAAATACATTTTCTACAGAATAAACTTAATCATTGTTTGATGCACACCAATGCACCGATGCAGCACACCCCAAAGTCCCAGACCTAATAGATCTGGCATTGTTTGATTAAGCAGCAGCAGCAGCAATAGCTTAACAAATTAAACAAAAAAGAAATTCCATATCTGTATCCATTGGCAGAAGAATGCTAGAACACGCAGATGTATCAGCTATAGCTATGCGTAGAAGAAAGGGAGTAAGAGACTGCAGCACAGGACATTGATCTCACCTGGCAGGCGCCTGCTGTGGGGGGCCGAGAAGTGGATTCCGTTCAGGTTTTTAGGGTTGAGGGGTGGAGGGAGGTTGGCTATGGCGATTGGCGAGGATGGCAGAGGAGGAGGGGGATAAGTATTAAGAGAGAGAGAGAGCAGCTCTCTCCTCCTCATCAGTCTGGTTCAGATTACAATCGATGCCTTTGTTGGCTCACACCCACCGAGCCTATATGCTCCTCCCCACCCACACACGCACCCAACACCACAACTCACCCAATCAGCCACAGCTCATCTGGGAATAGTGTGTCTTGCCCTTGCCCGGCTCGCTGTCGCCTGGGCCCGCCTGTTCGATGCAGCACGCACTGGTCTGGGGTCCAGTG